TCTTGTCTGGCCATTATCTACGTCATAAAGTTGTTCAAAGAATTAATCAAAATGGTATACATACAAGTGTTTCAAAGTTATAAAATTCCATTAAAATGTTTACTTGTATTACTATTCATAATTGACTGCTTTTGTAGAATATTAAAAGAAATTAGGACATAAATAGATTCTTCATAAATATTTCATGTATCAGGGATCTTGAGTATAAACTAGCCCAAACCCCTTATTTTATATGACGTTCAGAGAGAAGTAACTTAGCCTAGGCCATACTCAATAAAATAATGACAAGAGCTTTGATAAGCCAGGGCTCCTGATTCAAGATGAATGCAATGGGTTCACCACTAGAGTTAGCTGCCTCACACTTTGATTCTTCAAAATTAACACGAGCTGTACAGATTTCCATTCTCCACTGGCCCAAATTCTTCTATACTGAAAACAGAAAATGAGCAGTGAGTCAATTCTGGAGCCCAGATTTATAATTTATAATATACAGTGATGATGTAGCATGCTTCCATGTAAGAAAGCAATCCTTTGGTAAAAGATTCTGACTGTCAATAATTCTCCCTCAGGTATTCATCTTTCTGGATGTATATTGAAAATACTTGCCTGCAATGAAGGAATCAACTGCAATGACATTAATCTCCTAACTAAAAGTGCAGGACAATGTGAAAAATGAAAGTCTGAAAAAGATGGGGGTATGGGGAGGATTCATGTCAGGTAAATCAGTATCCCAAGATGCTTACCAATAGTATTAAAGGTCATGTTATTTTGTTTTCAGAATTTAGCATTTATAACCCGAACTGCAGTTGCCCCAAAATAAGTAGTCAATTGTAGGGTACTTAAAACATAGTGTTTGGAAGCACTGCTCTGTGGATAGTTATATAATGAAAATAATGTACAGTATCACGGAAAGACTAACGACTAAAGTTGCTGGGACTGGGCTATATTTTCATATAGAACACTTTTTTATCTGTGTGTCTAAATCTATAAAACAGCAAAAATATTTGCAATCATTACTTTTTCAGGAAATTATTCCCATTTCTGAGTATAATATACATGTATAAGAGACTACCTGTCTTATCAATTTTTCAGTACACTTCTCAAAGTCAGACACCATATAGTGTTAACATGTTTTTAAGCTTTCACTGTATCTACCATAAATCTGGGTATGCTGTAAGCATTCAGTACTGACAGAATGAGTTTTCTGTTATTGGACTTTTTTTAATTCATCACAATCTGGAATTGTGACGCCTAACTCACATTCCTCTACACATCTGTAGCAAAATATGCACAAAAACACTGCAGAAGTCTAACTGATATGTACAGAAAATTTAAAATACAGACATGTCCTAAGTTAAAAACTCAAAACTATGTAAACTGTTCCACAAGGCCCATAAAATACAAAGCAGTGATAATTATAATTTACAAACACAAAATATAATGCACAGGCAAAATATAAAAAACACCATATAAAAAGTTCCATGATCCTAAGGAAAGTTTGAATTAGTAATGGGTTATTCAAAATACTTGCTTTATTTTTTAAAACCCACAATGTAAAGTGAGTGCTGTATAAGAACAAGGGAAGTGAGAAATTTTATAAAGCAAGATACTTACACGACACAGCAAATGTTTACTGTGGATAAAAGTGCATTCTTTACAAGAAAAGCCAGCTAGGACATATATTTCAAAAGAAAGTTGAAGTTTAAGACTGTGAAAAATAGCCTGATGATTTTACTTGGGCCCAACACAGGATAAGATTGCATTTCTGCAGAGATATAGCACCAGTGTTTTTAGCTCAAGTGCTATTTTAATATTTTTCCAAAATCAAATAACTCAGGAACAGTTGGAGAATACCTGTACCATTCAATTATTTAACACTATCTGGGAAAAATTCTCTTCTTGCAATACTGTAGATAGATTATTGTACTGAAAAAATATCCAGAACCAATAAATGTTTAACCTTCAAAACTAATGAACATGGACCAATAGAAAGCAGATAAGGAAAGAACTTCTATGCATCCCCCCAAAATGGTAATTCTCACTTCAGACACTTGTAGTCCATTACTCCTAGTCTACAACCTCCCTTTACTCCAGCCCATATATCTCTCATCAGCACCATGCAAGAGTGGCTTGGTGGGATTTTTAACCTCAGCCAATAATCTGCATCAGCCTCTCCAAGAGATAGCCTAAGAATATACATACTAAATAAAGTAATGTTCTTGCTATTGCAAAAGAAGTTTCAAGACAAGAAACCTTGTGATATCATTCCAAATAAGTTGCTGCCCCTTCCCCCACACAGAAATCAGGAATATGTCACTATACTGTGCTTTGTTAAGAGAATAACACAGTGATAAAAGGATGGATTTGAAGTCAGGCCATACAAATATTTGTAAATATTGACAAGTGCCACACCACAAAAAAATAAGATAGCACTGGTTTAATGAAACAGGCAATCTTAAAAATTTATATAGTTGGTAGAAATTTAAATTAGTGCAACCATCCTGGAAGGCGATATAAGTATCCAAAAACCTAAAAATATGTATACAGTTTGACCCAGAAACTCAATTATTAATTGAATTTATTCAATGTCTTCTAGGAAAACAATAGGTTAAGTAAGCAAGGATGAATGTACAAGAATGTCCTCTAATGTAAGTAACTCCAAACTACCACAAAAACTCTAAATGTCTAACAGCATAGGACTGAATGGTAAAATGATTATGCCACAACCATACCATGAAGTACCATCCAAACATTAAACATTAAAAAGAATGATGGGGGGCTTCCCTGGTGGCGCAGTGGTTAAGAGTCCGTCTGCCGATGCAGGGGACACGTGTTCGCGCCCCGGTCCGGGAAGATCCCACATGCCGCGGAGCGGCTGGGCCCGTGAGCCATGGCCGCTGAGCCTGCGCATCCGGAGCCTGTGCTCCGCAACGGGAGAGGCCACAACAGTGAGACGCCCGTGTACCTCAAAAAAAAAAAAAAAAAAAAGAATCATATATGTCACATTTACTTGGATAGAAAGACATTCATGATAGGTTGTTAAGTGAAAAGGGCAGATTACAAAGGGCAGGAATAGAACAATCTAATTTGTATTTTTTAAATTTTAATCATATAATTAAGAGAAAACATTCTGAAATAATATACCCAAAAATGTTAAACAATAACTATCTCTAAGTGATGGAATTAAAGGTGAATACTAATTTATTCTTTGTAAATTTATACATTTTCTCATTTTTCTATAATGAGTTATTACTTTTACAAGCTGTAAATAGTTTTTTTATATTTTGAATTTAAAAATTAATAGTGGTAAATCTACACGAAACAAATAGCTTATTAACAGTTGATTATGTAAATCCATGTATGGACTTGAATATACCTACACAACTAATCTCAGCTCTATAATTATACACCTTGAGTTGTGACTTTCAAAAATTAGCACTTCTTCAAAATTCTAATTTAGACGTTTTTCGGATTTCAAAGGTATGGAGAGACCTCTGTGTCATCCTAACACAACCAATACTGTTCCTGTACTGTTGTACAATTTATTTTTAGTTTGTTTTGCAATTGTAAATAAATTACAGTTTTATCAATGTGCAGTGCTGTGCTGTGCTGCGCTGGGCCTTGCCTTTTGAGTTACTGCCCAGCCCCCCTTAAAAAAACTAAACCACTTCTATAATAAACTGCCTGAAGTTCATAAGGAAAGCCACAGCAGAATGCCACTTCCGGTACGCGGGCCTCTCACTGTTGTGGCCTCTCCTGTTGCGGAGCACAGGCTCCGGACCCACAGGCTCAGCGGCCATGGCTCACGGGCCCAGCCGCTCCATGGCATGTGGGATCTTCCCGGACCGGGGCACGAACCCATGTCCCCTGCATCGGCAGGCGGACTCTCTACCACTGCGCCACCAGGGAAGCCCAGAATGCCACTTTTTTTTTTTTTTTTTTGCGGTACACGGGCCTCTCACCGCTGCGGCCTCTCCCGCCGCAGAGCACAGGCTGCGGACGCGCAGGCTCAGCAGCCATGGCTCACGGGCCCAGCCGCTCCACGGCACGCGGGATCCTCCCGGACCGGGACACGAACCCGCGTCCCCCGCATCGGCAGGCGGACTCTCAACCACTGCGCCACCAGGGAAGCCCGAGAATGCCACTTCTTTAACAGCTTTAGAAAGTAGTAATCATCACTGAGACTCCCCACCCCCACCCCAAGAAATGAAGGAGAAACATCAGGTAGAGTTACGCAGACATTCAAACAAGTCTGATTTTTCTCTCCTTCCAATCTCCACCACAATACTACAGGGGAAGACAAACCTTAATATACATTCAGAGAAGAGAAGTTTAAAAATAACTTAAATTACCTAAGATTTCATAATAATTTATTAATCTAATACTAAACTAAATAGGAACTTCATATTAAAAATACGACATTTAGATTTTAGTCTTTCAGATTAGAATTATAGACGGACTATGTATGGTATACTGAACTACCTATAAGGAATGTTAAAGACATTCAAGAATACATAGAATTTCATTACCTGTCATATAAAGAAAAAAGTACTTGAAATAAGTCAGACAGCGAAAGACAAATACTGCATGATCTGACTTATATGTGTAATCTAAAAGGAAAACCAAATCATAAGAATCATAAGTTTACCAGAGTAAACTGGTAGCTGGCAGGTGTGGGTGGAGAATGAGTAAAGGTGGTCAAAAGGTACAAACTTCCAGTTATAAGATGAATAAGTTCTGGGGATCCAATGTACAGCATAGTAACTATAGTTAAACAATACCTCATTGTATACTTGAAAGTTGCTAAAAGAGTAATCTTAAAAGTTCCCACCAAAAAAAAAAAAAGAACTATGTGAGGTGATGAATGTGCTAACTAACCTTTCTGTGGCTATCAGTTTGCAATACATATGTATATCAAATCATCACGATGTACACCTTAAACTTACACAATCTTATATGTCAAGCACATCTCAATAAAGCTGAAAAAAGAAAGTACTTACCACTAAGTCCCAATTATTTTGTTCTAGCAACGTAATAGCTTCATCAATGTTTTCAATGCCAGTACAAGCCTAAAAACAAAGTAAGAATTTTAGATAGGATTTTGGGAGTGGAGAGGTTAGTTAGTGTTAAAAAAAATAAACAGCATAATGTGTAATTTAAGTTTGAATAGGTATATGAATAAAGCCAATACACTAAATGCCTAAAACTTCAAAGCATTTTACACAGACGGTTTGAAAATTGTTAATTACAATGTAAATTTACATTACACTGAAATAAAAGACAATAAAGTAATATAATATGTTTAAATGCTGAGCTCTGGAGCCCAGGATGATCTCTATATCTCTAACTGCCCAGAACAACTTTATTAAGAGCTTCTGATGGACAGCCATGTGTTAAAAATGAACTTCAATCCGTACTTTGTACTTTATACAAAAATTAACTCAAAATAATAACAGACGAAAACCCCGCTGCAGCCATTGCCACAACCACAATGCTGAAGTGCAAGAAGCAGAGTCAGCAGCAGCCCCCACTGCCAGAACAGGAAGACACTGGAGAGGGATGAAAGTCCCATCAGACCACCCAGCCTCCTGGGCCCTCCCATCATGACCAATGGAAACCCTGGTGACCCCAAATCAGCTCTTCACAGAGGTCCTCCAGGGTCAAGGGGACCAATGATTCCACCACTGCTGAGTCTCCCACCTCCTCCCTGGAGCAGAGGCCGAATTTGGGGAGGGCTGAGCTCCAAATCTGGCTCATATGGTCATAGTTGGTGGAGGGGCTAATGCTAAACTTCCTTTTCCTGGACCAGGCCATGGAGATCCCTCCAGGGAGGCTTACACAAAGAGCGGAGAAATCCTCAAAGCCTCAAGAGCTGGTCTCTTATCAAGAATACCTGCCCAGCGCTTCCCTGGTGGCACAGTGGTTGGGAGTCCGCCTGCCGATGCAGGGGACATGGTTTCGTGCCCCGGTTCGGGAGGATCCCAAATGCCGCAGAGCGGCTGGGCCCGTGGGCCATGGTCGCTGGGCCTGCGCGTCCGGAGCCTGTGCTCCAAAGTGGGAAAGGCCGCGACGGTGAGAAGCCCGCATACCGCAAAAAAAAAAAAAAATTATACCTGCCCATCCAAGGATGGACCCCAGGTTATGGAAGTCAGATTCAACCACCCTGTCTGCCGGCATTTTGCCAAAAAGGTCCACTGTCCATATGAGGACTGAGCTCTGTGCCTTCTACCACGCAGAGTCCATGGACCTCCTCTGTGAGACTGTGCCTTCCCATCCAGGCTTGAAGGAGCCTTCTGTGACCTAGTGGCAATATACTTCCCTGTGGCCCTGTGATGTCTACTGTGGGGCTGTTCCAACTACCACCCTCAGTCAGTGACACCTATCCCCATGGCCACCTCCCCCATGTGGGGTCCAAAGTTGTGTTCATCACTGGTGCACGGTGTGCACTCTTTCTTCTGATCCAGCCTCCAGAGCCTCATCTTCAGGACCCCATCTTTGCTCCATTCAACTGCCTCCTGGATCCTCTTCCCCCTCGCCAATGGACGGCTGAACAGGAAACCTCTTTAGTGCTGTTTCTTGTTCATCTGTCCACCGAGCCCCCAGTGTTGCCCTTGATTCCTGAGAGCCGTAGAGCAGTTTCCTACCATTCCCTTCTTCTAGCTGCTTGCTTTCAGTCCATTATATGTCACAACCCCTACCCCCAATGTTGTCACCTGCTCTGTGAAACTCATCAGGTTGTCTGACCTGGGGTCAATTTTAAATGACTGGTACAGAGTTACTCCCTAAAAGGCTACACTTCCTGTTTTGGGGTTTTGTAATTTGTGTGTCAATAGCATGATCACCACTGCTATGGTCTGTGGTCAGTGCACTTTGTGAAACTGTACGTCCCCTCGTAGCCTTTTTCAGTGTCCACAGCATTTTTGTGACTTCCAACAGTTGAGTACATTCTTCTGCCAAATTGAGTGAGGCCACTGGTACCCTCTAGACTTTCCCCACCTCCCAACATGGGAGAATTATGAAACTTTCCACAAGACTGCCTCCCGGGCCCTCCCCATTCTTCTTCTAGTGTCAGTTTCTCTGGGTTTGACACAGGCCCAAGAGATGTCCTCTAAAGCCTCTGATGGGCCTACCCTATCTCGTCTCCAGCCCGTTTTACTTAGACTACATCACCGTGAGGTCACCAGCCCTTTTGTTTGAACTCTGTGAATCTCCACTTGGCCTACCTTTGGATAGAACCTGGGCAGTACTCTTGCCCACTTCCAACCTTCTTCTCCTACATCCCTGGCACTGGTTGTTTTCTATGAAAATGGCAGTGAACAGGTTCATATTTGAACTGGCCCTGAGGAAATAGGTCAGGAGCTGTGCGGGCAAGAGGGAGGGATGAGAGCCATTGGAGAAATGAGAATGAATTATTTTCTTAAATTTTTTTATATTAGTTACAAACGCAGTGGAAAATAAATACATACATACCTAAATAAATAAATAAATAACCTAAAGTAAAACCCCAAACTACAAAGCCTCTAGATCTGTGCTGTCAGATATGGTAGCTACTAGACAGATATGGCTAATGAGCCCTTGAAATGTGGCTCAACTGAGTTAACATGTGTTGCATTAAATACATACCAGTGTAGGCCTTAGTACAAAAATAAAAATGTAAAGTATCTCAATAATTTTTCTAGTGAATAAATGTTGAAACGATCATTTAAAATATATTAGCTTAAATACAACATAAATGTTTAAATTAATTTCACCTGTTTCTTTTACATTTTACACGTCTTAATGTGGATACTAAAAAATTTTTAATTACATATATGACATTCAATTTCTAATTCCATTCTAGAAAAAAACATAGAAGGAAATCTTTGTGACATTTAGATTCAACAGCAAAAGTACAATCCAAAAAATTGATAAAGTGGACTTTATTAAGAACTACTACTCAGGGTTTCCCTGGTACGCAGTGGTTGAGAGTCTGCCTGCCATGAAGAGGACACGGGTTCATGCCCCAGTCCGGGAAGATCCCACATGCCGCGGAGCGGCTAGGCCCGTGAGCCATGGCCACTGGGCCTGCGCGTCCGGAGCCTGTGCTCCGCAACGGGAGAGGCCACAACAGTGAGAGGCCCGCGTACTGGAAAAAAAAAAAAAAAAAGATACCGAAAAAAAAAGAACTACTACTCAGAAATTTCCTGGCAGTCCAGTGGTTAGGACTCCGCACTTTCACTGCCAAGGGCCCAGGTTCGATCCCTGGTCAGGAAACTAGGATCCCACAAGCTGCGTGGTGAGGCCAAAAAAGAACTAATAAAGAGAAGCTTTTAAAAAAAAGAACTACTGCTCTTCAAAAGACACTGTTAAGAGAATGAAAAGGCAAGCCACACACTTGGGAGAAAATATCTGCAAAACATATGTAACAGAGGACTAATAACCAGAATATAAGAATTTTAAATTCTCAAAACTCAGTTTAGATAAATTGTAAGTAGCAAAAGATTTTAACAGAAACTTGACCAAAGACGATATACATATGAGAATAAGGACATGAAAAAACACTCAACATCATTAGTCATTAGGGAAATGCAAAACAAACAGAGAGATACCATTTCCGTATGTTAGAGTGACAAAAGCCCAAAATACAAACAATATCAAGTGATGGTAAGGATGCAGAAAAACTGGAACTCTCATATACTGTTGGGGAGGAAGCAAAATGATATAGCCACTCTGAAAACAGTGCTAACAGATTAGCAGTTTCTTAGAAAGTTATGACACAGTAATCCCACTCCTAGGTACTTATCTAAAAGAAATAAAAACTTATGTTCACATGAAAATTATACATGAATGTTTTTAACAGCTTTATTTATAATGGCTGAAAACAGACCACACCCCAAATGGCCTTCAACTGTACATTCATACAATAGAAAACTACTCAGCGACAAAAATGAACAAATTACTAACAACACAAAACAATGTGGATAAATCTCAAATGCTAAGTAAAAGCGAGACTCAAAAGGCTACACACTGTATGATTCCATTTATATGACATTCTAGAAAGACAAAGTTAAAAGAACAGGAGACATATTAATGATTACTAGGGTTATCAGGTGGGAATAGGGGTTGACTACAAACACCAAGAGGGAATTTTGCAGGGTAAAGGAACAGTTTGAACCCTGAATAACATAAAAAAGCAACAAAAGGCAACCAAGTAAGACATTTAAAAATGCAATCTTCATCTTAAGCTACATGAAAAGACAAGGATAAACCAAAGGCTTGAAAGTACTAATAAAAGCTACTGAGAACAGTTAAGGTAGGGGCAGAAGTTACACAGAAGGAAGCAGAAAGAAAAACTACAGGGACTGCAGAGCAAGCCTAACAGCAGCAATTATCAGAAAGCACAAGCAAAAGTACACCTCCTTCAATGACATCACCATTTGTCTTCAAAAAAAACCAAAACACAGTGGAGGACATAGTTCCAAGAGCCCATCCCTCCATAGAAACATGAAAAAATTGAGAAAACTGTCAAAACTGTCAAAAACTGTCAGAATCAAATTTGCCAAAACTCTGGAAAACAGCCAAAGCTATAGGTCAACCAAGCAAATGCTGAAACAAGAAAAAGGTGACTTATTGTAAAAACAGTATGAAAACCCTGAGGCATTTTTATTTCCCCTTCCTCACTCTTGGCTCAAGAGTAGTCTTGAATGCACTAGCCTATATTCCAATGGTTGGACCCTGGACCCTGGTTCTAGAGGGAGCCAAGAAGACTTTGTTCTCAAAGAATGTTTGTCTCTTGTGACCTATCAGGCTACCTGAAGGACTGACTGAAGGCACTCTCCTTTGTTTCATCGACTTGGATCTCACTTAAGACAGCAAAGTAGCTAGCAGGGGGCAATTCTTCAAAAATACTTTAAGGCTGGGGCTTCCCTGTTGGCACAATGGTTAAAAATCTGCCTGCCAATGCAGGGGACATAGGTTCCATCCCTGGTCTGAGAAGATGCCACATGCCACAGAGCAACTAAGCCCATGCACCACAACTACTGAGCATGGGCTACAGAGCCCGGAAACCACAACCACTGAGCCCACACGC